GTAGACAGGGCACGACGATACCAAGTAGTCGACTCGTACGCCTCCAACGTTCCAGACCTCGGATCCGATCACCAAGCTGTGCACGTCAAGATGGACCTTGAGGCCACGACGAAAAGAAAGAGGAAACGGAAGCAACCGCACCGCGGCACGCGATCCCATCCCCCAGCCGACGACCTATTTTTCCAGCAATGTTTGCAACAGCATTTGAGCGACCACAACCACGATGCCGACTTGGAGAGTAGGTGCCATGACATTGGTGAAGGGCTCAAGCTTGCAAGCAAAAATTACCAGGAACACCAAGAGCAATCAGCCGGAGACCTTCGAGGACGCGCCAACGACGGACCGACAGCACGGCTCATGGCCATTATCCAACAAAGACGCGCAACCGCACCACGAGGCACAACTGCACGAAGATCCCTTGGCAAGCAAATCTTTCGACTGACAAGGGCTATCAAGCGTGCCGAGATGAATGCCGAGGTCGACGAGATTGTCTGCCAATCCAAAGGAAATTATATGGGTTTAAAAAACCAGCAAGCGCAAAAGTATGATCCCATCAATGACCACAGCTGAAGGTATCGACGAGACAGATAGATAAAGCATAGCAGACTTATTCGCCACTTTTTTACGAGAACCTGTACAAGGACCCGCACCGCGCAGCCAGCACCGGCAACACCCACGCGCAGACGCACGACGACGCGACCATCCCGTTTTTCACAGCATGCGAGCTCCACCAAGCAATCAAAACTCAAGAACCGCAGGTGCACCGACACCGCTGGGCTTCACGGCAGAAATGCTCAAAGCCGGAGGCACCATTTTACAATGCCATCTACTTCGACTATACAACGACATCATCAAGCCTGATCGCCCCCCGCCAGACCAGTGGAAGAGCACCGCCATCATTGCAATGCACAAGTCTGGTGACCCCACACAACAGGGCAATTACAGACCAATTGCCGTCATCCCTTTGCTGTATTGGCTGATGTCTCGCCTCTTTTGCACCCGGCTCAGCGTCCTGTTCGGCTCGCAGCAATGCCCAGACCAAGCAGGTTTCCGCAAGAACTATTGCACAGGACCACTTGTTCACCACAACATTGCTTCATGAGAGCTCTCGCGGATTGCAGCTGCCGCTCTGGGCCGCCGCATCAGATTTCAAGACAGCGTTTGACTGCGTTGACCACGACTGTATGTGAGACGCTCTACGACATCAACATATACCTCCCGCCTACATCACCTTCCTGCAACATTATATAGCACGCAAGCTGGTACAGTTCGGACGGATACCAAAAGCAGAGCCTTCAACATCGAACGGAGCGTTAAACAGGGAGACCCGCTGAGCTCTTTCTTTCTCAACGCCGTCTTAGAGCACGTGTTCAGACAAGTGAATTTTGTTAGGTCACGGAAGAAAGTCGGGACCCACTTTGGCTTCTCAGCACAAGCGCGGATTACAAATCTGCGTTTCGCCGGCGACGTGTTGTTGTACGCCACCAACCTAAGACTGCTCACCTGCTTACTTCGTGACGTACAAACCCACGCAGCTAAATGTGGTCTGTTACTACATCCAGAAAATACGAAGACCCTGACGAACGCTAGCCAGAGAGAGGGGAGAACAATCACCCATGTCGACATCAACGGCGACAACATCAGCATCCTACATTCCAGCCGCGGAATGAAGTACTAGGGAAAAAAATCACTATTCACAAATTTCATGACGCAGAACTGCACAACAGGATTGCCGCAGGGTGGGCCCGTTTCAATCAGCTTCGTTACGAATTGACCAACAAACGCTTCCCGCTCCATAGTACATTGAGGTTGTTCAATGGCATTACGACGAAGGAGATGCTTCTTATTCTCAGGTGCGTCCAACGGAAAATGCTCAGGCTTGCCACGGGAGTACCGCGGACGCGCAACGAACAACACCAGCACGCGCCCGACACCTCCGACGACGACCGCCACCACAACATGACCGACGCCGACGCAGCAAACAACCCGAATTACACAGCCAGCAACAGCGACGAGAGGAATATTGACGGAAAGGAATCACGGGCCGACTACATTCGACGAGGCACGCGCGAAGCCACGGACCATGCTTCCCGAGCCCAGGTGGCAGAATGGGTTGTTCTATATTTCGAACGGAAATTGAAGTGGGCATCCGTGTGGCGACACACGATTGCGACAGGTGGACTTTCTTAGCTGCCTCATGGGAGCCGCGCTCACATGACCCGCGCCTAGCGCACCGGCGGCACGGAGGTCAACGAAAGCGATGGGTAGCCGACATCCTGCATATCTTACGCGCCAAGGGCATGTGTGAAGGCCGCGACGATCAGGAACGCAACAACCAACGGTTACCAATTGCAGCAGATGAGCGGTTATGGATGGATCTGGAAGGTGATTTTTATTCAAACACGCCTCCGCCCACTACAGCCTGTAGGTTTTGGAATGCTTCCCCGAGTCCAGCGTTACGTGTTCTGCCCGCTGGTCGTTTCTCCGACTCTTGTTCACACCTCTCCGACTCCGACTCCAGTCCATCTCTCCGACTCCGGCTCCGGCTCCGCCTCCTTCCCCCGACGCGTTTTCTGAGGGCTCCGGCCCCCCCGCGCCGCCTTATGAGGGCCGGTCCCGCCGGACCGATCTCGCGCGCTCGCCTCGCCTCGCCACCCCGAGGCTGTCGGAAGGGCGGGCCAGGCGCTTCGCTTGAGAATTCTTTACCATATTGTGACACTGAAGTTTAGAAATGACAGCAGCTTCGCAGACGGAGGGCGGGCCGTTTTCAACATGTGGCTCTCGCCTTGGTTCAGCGCACATTCGCCTAAGCAGCTGCATGGGTTTCACGGATTGAATGCGGGTGGTATTCACATGTGATTCCGCCGTGCAGAGTCTTAATGACAAAGTGCAGGAGTTTCGCGGATTGAGGGCGGTTGGTTTTCAACATGGCTTTTTCGTTTTAGCGCCGCGCACGTTTGTTGTAACATTGCATGAGTTTCATGAATCGAGGGCGGCTCCTTTTCAAATGCGTTTTTCGCTTTCTCACATTCGTTTTGATCATTTGCAAGCGGGTCACGGATCTCTATGGTTGAAGTGCCAACAATGATGTTCTGCAACGATTCAGGATGTCAGTTCGTGGCGTTGAGAAATCACAAGGACAGTGTTCTGTCAAGATTCAACATCCCCAACAACAGCCAAATTGGTTTGTGGCGTTGAAGTCCCGAGATTGGTGTCTTGGCGCGCTTCACCTTAGTGGACCCTGGAAATGACAAGGCTGTTTTTTGACCGGTTCCGCTTTGCCGTTTTTTTGCCGGTTCCGACGCCGTTTGTTTACCTTTTTCCGTCGCAGTTGTTTGACCGGTTCCGGCTCCCGTTCCGATCCTGGATCCGTTTTTTTGCCGTTTCCGGTCGCCGTTTTTTTGCCGCTTCCATGTTCAAGGGACATTTGTTTGGAAACGGTGAAGAAACGGCCCTGCCGTTTCTGGGGCCCACAAGGCGCTTCATCATCTTCAAACGGTTGTCTCCCAACGGGCCGTTTCCCTCAGTGGAAATGAACCTTTGTAGGGTCGCATGACAAGGGAGCTTGGAGACAAGGCTTATTCCAACATCATTGGTGAATCTTGGGTTTACACTGGTCCTTTTTCCCCTTTTCCTCCTCCTCCTCCTCCTCCCCTCCCACCTCCACATCCGCTTCTCCCGCCCTCATGCTCTCATCCCCTGGTCTCGCCCCTTTTGCCTTCATCTCTCAGGTGTCCCTCTCCCTGAGCTTATTCTCCGTTTTCTCATGACAAGTTATGCCAAGTTTGGCAGGTACGTAGTGGGACAGCGGTCATGGGAGTAAGTCTGGAGGTTGGAGGAAGGGAGTGTGGTTTAATGGATGTGGTACCAATGCTGACAAAAGGTGATGTACTCTACGATAGTCGCAAGAGCGTTGCATCCCGATTCCAACAGCGCTCGCTTTGCGCCGACGCCTCAAACAACGTCAAGATTCCTGATTTCAACTTTACGCAACGACCGCAGTTCTATGTGAACAACAGCACGAACATCTGTTCCAAGACGTCCGGTCACCAAACAAGCAATTTTGGAAATTCCGAAAGCGTGATTCCAGAATTCCCATATCGCCAAGAACGTGGTTCCAGAAATTGCAAAATTTTGAATTTGTTGTAGTTTTAAGACAACTCATAATTCCGCAAATTCCGAAACGACGTTTTAGTCATTACGGAATCATATAACTTAATGATAGAAATTCTGGCATATGTGAAATCGCGTGCTTGGCGAACTGGCGTCATGCATTGGGGCTTTGTGTCGCCGTTCCGATTGGATGGCGGTCGTTTGGAGAGTTGGAGTGGTTCGTACCAACCCTCAGTTGCTGATAAGAGTTAGGGGGGCGGCGGGGACGTCGGCATTCTGGAGCTTGGTTTTTTATTCCGGGCCGATCGCGGCCGTCATTTTGCGGGCGTCGGGAGGCGGCCGATGACATCACGTTTTTCGCCGGCGGCGTCTGGGAATGCCTAGGAATGACCGGGGACGGGTAGCAGCAGCATGTGGGTGTCGATTTGCACCACAACGTTTGTATACACCACGCCGCTAATGTACACCGCAGCAGCTGCGGGCAACACAGCGCCAATGTGCACCACAGTGCCTGCGTGCACCATAGCGCTTGCGCGCACCACAACAGTTGCGTACACCACAACAGCAGTGTGCAACACAGAACCAGTGTACACCACAGTTCGCGCGTGCACCACAGCGTCTGCGTACACTACGGCGCCGGTGTGCACCACAGCTACCGCGCGCAACATAACATCGTTGTACATATAGTATGACAAGGAGCAGTTATGACAAAATGGAGCGCGTGTGATTTCCACAGGAAACACATGTTTTTATGTTTGCGCTTGCGCGTGAAGGTCGAAATTGGTTTATCGCTTGTCGCTACAGAAAGACGCGCATAACTGTCTGTGCTTGCATCGAAGGTCGACAGAGGCTTATCCCATTGTCGCTACAGCTTCTCTCCGTAGCCC